GCACCATCCTCGGAAAATTCATCTTGTACTGGCCAAGATTTCGCTAATACAAGAAATCTGGTGGCTGTGATACAGGGTTAGCCAATCCGCATATCAGCTGAACGTAACAGCGTATTTCTAACCAGTGCAAAGATTTTGGAGCCGATGGTAATAAACCAGAAACATTGCCACCACTAACAATTCAGTTAGACAGTAACTGTATTTTCTGTTCAAGTGCCTCAGAACTTCCAAGCCTGAAAACAAACAGGGAGGAGGGAGAGGGGAAAAAAAACAGTATGTCAAGCAAGTTAAAATGGTAAAATAACACTGGATCTGCAAAACGGTGTTAGAAAGAATAGTGAAGTCACAGGTTTTCCACTGTCAAATATAAGCCTGTCTTTCAAGTACTGTACTATAATAACCATATCCAACAAAACCAAAACTGAGTAAAAAGTATGTTTTTTACAAACAACAAATGTGCCAGCACAACAGTTGCCAATCTCTGTTAAGAGAAGCTCCAAGATCTGTTGCACACTTTGTACAAATAAAAGGTCCCTTCATGCTCAACTACTTAAGTTCATGTGCCCTACACCCATAAGACAGATATGTGCAGCAACTTGCAGAAACCAGTAGGAACAACTAAGCAGGAGAAGAAAAAATTATATACTTGTAGCTGAGAAGAATATTTCAGGTTAACTCTTTCCTGTAGGTTTAAGAATTTTGAGAATGGAGTAGTTGCTTATTCTCTTACAACTGTACCACAGTCTATATGTTGGGTAATAGAAGACCTAACAAGAAAAAGAGAATTCATTGCCACTGGTGGTGTGCATAATATCAGATGATTGAAGCAAAGTATGTCTCAAGTTACGTCTGATTTCGCAGTTATCCCGAGTTAAGAGCCCAGCCTGACCTTCCCAGGAAATGCATGTACACCAGTGCAATTGAAACAAGAGTGTTTGAGCTTCTCAGCCAAAATAAAACAGACCACTGGTGTTGAACTCTGAACCTGAACTTCACAGGATGCACAATCCTTCCACTTTCAGAGCCCAGATTATCCTGACTGTTACCTGCCCGCTTTACAAAATAGCCCTAAGGATTAGTTAAGATGTAAAGCACTTTTCAAAGTATATTACAGTACCAATTATTATTATCAATGTGGGTGAAGTCCTCAGTAATTGAAGCTTTGAGTCTCCGCTCCACAGACACCCACTCTTGGTTCTTGCTGATGCACCATAATGCTTCAGGCAAATAACTGATTCTTTGTCTGCCACCAGTCGCGGTAGTTACAACAATGCTCTTTTTTTTTGGTATGAGGCACTGTTGTTTCTTCATTAGGGGGAGAGTGATTTTTCCAAGTACAGCCCTGTTAACTCTTGGCAGCTGCTGAAGAATCAGCAGTTCTCAGCTGTTGTCTTTTATTCTGTTGACCACAGCACCAAGCAGAAAACAACAACAAAAAAATCACCATTCCAGATATATACTTGAACACATAAACTTCCAGCACTTGGTTTAGCGACTTTCCTTACCAGAGCAGCATATATTCCAACTCTTTCACATGTCTACTTGTTTCAGTTACGTCTTCTGCAATATTGTAAAACTAAACTTCAGTGCTAAGCCACCGTTTTGTTTTGCAGTGGATCTGTATAAAGCCTGTCACTAACTTGAACAAGGGGATGGAAAAGAATTTATCAGAAAGATAAGCTTTTAAACCACTTGACAGACTATGTATATCTCACCCCACTAATTCTTGAGCTCCAGCTTCAAGAGTTCTAAATATTCACCGATGACTACATAAGCAGGTAATTGGTTCATTTTAAAAGAATCTTACTGTTCAAAAGCTTCCCTTTTTCCTTCTTTGAGGCATCTCCTTCAAAAGAAGTAATTTCAAATTTGTAAAAGTTAACGATCAAGCTTTGGTACTGCAGAATTTTGAATCTCAAATATACTCATCACTCTTGGATGGTAAGTCATAAAAGTTAAAAAGTTTAGTCACAGGTGAGCTGTATTACATCTAAAAAGAATTGTTTTACTCCTGAAGTAGGGCAAAAATAATGTAACTTTATGCTATGCCTGTTTACAAATAGTCTGTCAGTTTTGTAGATTGAACATGTTTAAATAAACACACAAAACAGCAATTGGAAAACAGCTGCTGAAGCATCAAACCAGCATCATGCATGTCATTAAAACAAACAGTTCAGAGCTCTGCAATTGGCATCTCCAAAGAACTACTCTAGTGCATCAATTTTTAAACAAAAATGCCAGATTGGATAATGTCACCTGTCAAAGGAGAAGTAGGGAAAATAGTATTCAAAACACTAGGTTTACAGGCAGGTGTTAAAAAGCTAGTCCTAAACCTTGCCTGAAGACAAGATTCCATGTAATCCATCAGAAGAACCTGGCGATACCATCACTGACCTTAAACTGAAGTTCTCAGTAGCTGCATGAAAGGTGTGAGTACAAAAGAAGCAGTAGAAGTAGACCAGATGTCAAGAAGGGCATCCTTGTGAAGATTACTGTCTGAAGGCGACCTTCAAAAACTGTCTTGAGGACTGAGAATGAAGTGCAAAGGATGTGAATATGCTCTACCATCCATGCTGAATGTGGCCCTACAGTTGCAGTTCTAAGCCAGCAAATGGATGTATGCAGCCAAGTGAAACTTTTAAGTGCCTTTAAGTATCTCACAAGCAGCCTGTACATGTCACAAACAGGTAAAAATTTTGAAAGGATGGTAAACTCATGAGTTTCCTGCATGATTGCAATTTATTTTTTTTTTCCCACTGGAAGTCTAAAGGACTTGGGGATAATGAAGTGAGAAAACTGAATGGATAACTATTAATTTAACAATGGGGAGGCAAAACAACAGCTCAGAGTCATTTTCTTCTGTGAAGGAGATCGATAGCCATTTCCTCCCCTCTGAAGTTCCATGTTTGGAGAGGGTGCCATCCATAAACATTTCCTGTCCTACCCTACCAAAATGCAAGCTTTAAAATCCCATTGCACTCTTTGCCTAGAATGTACTGAAAGCCCAGCGGGAACCAGCATGAAATAAATTGCCTTTATAACTATGCTATATATAGCCCCACAAATAAAACTTTGATGAGTTAATGTGGCCAAAATCTTTTGCCTTTTGCCTTTGCCGATTAATGACATGCATAACTGATGTTCACATCACATCCCCCCCTTCTTTCCCTCCCCCTACTCCCGGAGGAACGGAGAGAAGAATCGAAAAGAATGCAACTCCCACAGGTTGAGATAAGAACAGTTTAGTAACTAAGGTATAACACAAATCACTACTGCTACCACCAATAATAACAATGATAAAGGAAATGAGAAGAGAATACAACACCTCAGCACCAGCCGACCGATAACTCACCCCCCCCAGCCCGACCAAGCACCGACCCATACCTCCTCCAATGCTGGAGTCCCCCAGCCCTTCCGGATAACTGTCAGTTACATCCTGGGCATGACGTGCTGTGGTATGGAATACCCCCTTGGTCAGTCCCGGTCAGGTGTCCTGTCTCTGCCCCCTCCTGGCTTCCCCTCCTCCCTGGCAGACCATGAGGCTCACAAGGTCCTTGGCCAAACCAAAACATCACTATCAGCTCTGTTCCCAGGCCGAAAGTCAAAACACTGCACTGCACCAGCTACCAAGAAGGGGAAAAATGACTGCTACTGCTGAACCCAAGACAGACAGCCATGAATTAAAACCCCACAATTCATAGGTTCTGGTTCTACCCTCCCAGCTTATTTCAAGAGTCCAATACTCAGAAGTCCATCTCCTCTACACCTTTCTTGGTGCAGCCAAACTACTTCCCACACTCCTCAGTCCATTTGTCCTGGGTCCTACACGTGCCCACAATGTTTATTTTACAGCTGCATTCTCTACTGATTTCAGACATTTCACATCCACATTCCATACTAATTTCAGTCACCTTCAATCTCCACAGCCTTCTCTCTCCTGTCTTCAGGCACGGGATTTTTTTTTTTTTTGTACAGCCATCAGACAGTAGCAACTTCAGCCTCTTCTCTTGAATTCCAGGGTGAAGAGACAATGGTTCACTCCAGGAAAGGCTTAAAGGGAGTGGTGCATTCCAGGCAAGCAGAGGCAGATCAGGATATGGTGAATTCAAGCCACAGTAGTGAATGTTTACAAGAAAATGCCACAGCACACATTCCGCTATCAGAAACAGCTTTTTATTTGTTCCCCAGCTTTTCAGAGTTCCTGATAGACTGCAAGCATCCACTAATTCTGCCACTCCAGCAGTGTTAGCTAGAGGCAAGCACACAGACTCCTAATCACCCACTTCAGGATAATCCCAACCACCAAACCCCTACCACTTCCAAATTCAGACAGTTGCCCAACAAGTTCTTTCTTGGTCCCAGTTCAAATACACTCTTGTTGGGGGGCAACAGGCTTCCTTCCTCTTCAGTCAGTTCTGGCCACGCATCTTTAGCGATCAGGTAACCTACCTATTGGTAACATACCTATGCTTAAGGTATGCACGGGTGGGTAAAACTTTTTGCTACCATTTCTCAAAACCAAGGAGCACCAACGTGGTGATTAATGCGGCACGAAGCAGAACTACCCCCGCAAGGGTTATCTTTAAAGGACTGGCCGCCCCTGAAGCTGCGCCTGCTCTCCAACAGCATTACTGGGTGGCATTCTTTAAGCAGGCAGGAAACAAGATAAGGCGCAGGAAGGAAACATTCTCGACTGAAATGAATGCCCTGAGCCTCAGCTGCTGCCTCTCGGTCCTTCCCCGCCCTCCCTCTCTCCCTTCCGCAGCCTTCCCAGCCAGGACGCACCGCTGCTGAGCACAAATAAACACCCGGCCCCGGTTAACCAGCAGCGGCCTCTGGGCAGTACCGCGGCCTACCCCGGGGTCCGCTCCGCCAGGTTTCCCTTCAGGGGCAGGCCGCATAGTCCGTACCCGTGCCAGTGCCAGTGCCAGCGCCAGCACCAGCGCCAGCCTCGAACGGGAACCCCGGCGCGGCCTAACAGGGGCGTCCCTGTCCCCCGCCTCTCCACGCATGCGCGCGGGGCCTGCGCAGCCAGTAGCGTCGCGGGGACTTCCGGGTCAGCGGTGGCTCGCAGTGCTCTCCCCGCCCCGCTATGGAGGCCGGGTCGGGCCCCGGCGGCGGGGAGCTCGGCGACCCGGCCGAGGTACTGTCGTTCTCTCGTTGGCGCGGCCCGCGGGGGACTGCGGGAGCGGTGGTGGGGTTGTTTCTGCTGAGGGCGAGGCAGCATGCCCTGGGCCTGCACCCGCCCTCCGCCTGCACCCGCCCTCCGCTGGCCGGGCAGCGGGGTTGCCTGGCAGCGTCTCGCCTGGGCCTACCGTGAGCTCCCTGGAGGGCTGGGGACCGCGAGGACGGTGCCCTTAGGGCCTTCCTCGCTGCATTCCGGGGGACTGGCCCAGCAGGAGGTGCTCTCCTCGGTACCGGCGGCCTTCTCGCTTCTGCCCTTCTCCCGGCCGGCAGCCTGGCAGGGCGCCCGGTCGCACGCCTTCGCGGCTGCAGAGTCACGCACCTCTGGTAGGAACAGCTGTCCAGCTTTCACTAAGTGTAAAGGGGCAGCAGGCGTTGTGTAATGAAAGCCTTGGCAAGTATTTTAGAAAGGGATTTAATGAGCTGGCAGTTTTTTGTCCATTTGGAGGGCTAGTTGCAAGGACAAAAGCTGGCTTTTCTAAAGGAGGAGGAGTGAGCTGAGTTGGAATTTGACTGTACCAAAAATATTTTCTACTCTCTCGTATCACTTGTGGGACCATTGGGTTTTAAAAATTAAATACTTCATGTGACATCTATAAGCAAAAGTCACCAGTTCCTTAAGTGTAGCTGTGTGAAAGTACAGGCCCTGCAAGGTGTGAAAGCTAGAGTTCTTAATTGAAAAATCCCCCAAAACCTTTCTTTTGATCACTCTCTTGTAATTTATTTCCCCAATGAAAGAGGGAAATACCTAAGGCTTATGTACCAACAGAGGAGGAGAGAAGACTCCTTAAGGAATGTGCTGAAGAGAGTGCCCGGTATAGAGGTGAGTTCAGTTTTCTGGTGAACATGGTTTGCTTTTCTTCCACCCTTAATTTTTGTTGCTGTCTGAGGCAGCAAGCAAGGCAGGCCTGTGTCAGTGTATCACAACAGTTCATTAACAAGCTTCACATAGTCTAAAGTTACATTGTGTTAGAACTTGATCCATGGAGGATTTCCATTTATTTATTAAGAGTTTGTAGGACAGGATTCAGGATTTTTGTAGACATCACAACATAATTTGTAAGGCTTATGCTTTATAACCTGATCCCTTCATATTTTAAATTAATATGCCTATGAAAAGTCTAAAAAATAGTTATAATTAATGAAGTCTCATTTATGGTTCTGGTTTTTGTTATTTTTGTCTTCAACTTTTGTTATCTTTGGAGTGCAAGAATAAAATAGTGTAACTTACAACCATTGCTTTCTGTCTTTATGGACACTTCTGGGGAGAACACTAAGTACAGAACATAAGTAGTCACTCAGATCAGTTTTTGGAGAAACTGTGTCTGTGTGTGAGCAGACATTTGGGCACCTTTCCCCTGCAAATAAAAGCCATGATTTTGCAGTCAGTAATGATTTCTGTACTACAGCTAGTATACAGGAATCATAAACTCGCATTGTTTTCACAAAATGCTTTCTGTCTCAATTTATTTGAAATATTCTGTTGGTTTGAAATGTTCTGTTGGTTGTTGGTTTGGTTTTGGGTTTTTGTTGTGCTGCGTTTTTTTTTTTCTACAAAACATTGAGAGCTGATTGCATTACTTCTTAACATTGCTTCTGTAACCCAAAGGATCAGTGCATACCTGTTTTTTAGACACCTGGTCAAGAGGTTTGAAGAAGCCTTCTGATGTGATTGTTACCTACTATTCTGTCACATACTAGTAGATTAATGTTGATGCTGATAGGTGGTTTAGCAGAAACCAGGACTGAGGAAGAATTTAGCAGCTGAGTTGCCAAATTTAGCAGACAGGGGCTCTGGTTTCTCCTGAAATCCAGTCCTTTCAGGGGCAACTTCTATGGCACTGTGATTTTGAATTAAAGATTCAAAGTTCTGCTTTATCTTTCTCCATTGCTTTTATGGAAGAGGCATTCTGCTCTTCTATGTTTATTCAGATACCTGAAAACCTTCAGCTTGTTTGCTAAAATCCAGCCATTTTCCATGTATTTTTATAAGTGAGAAGAGTCAGGTTCATTCATAAGAAGGTGAAGGTTGGTTATGGCATACTGATAATCTCTCTCCTGGAAGACACGCGGGAGAGAATTGTTTGTTGCTCTTGAGGTGTTCTGCTGAGAGTTCTTGATGGGCAATGTAACTTACTGCCCTGTTTATCTTTATACAGAGACAGAAGCAGCAACATGAAGGTGCTGTTGAGAACAGTCAAATCAGTTTCTTGCGATATTTCACTTTAGAGAGCTGCAAGAGTAATTGCAAGATGCTTTTTACAGGGGTTGTGTACTGTGCTGTTACTTCACTATGCAAGCCTACGGCCCATCATTGTTTTCTAGCTCTTCTCTGTTTCATTGTTCTGCATTATATTACCTGGAGTGTTGTGTTCCCTGTATTAAACGCGCAGTATTTGAATGTCCTTTTGGAAGAGGTGTGGGCCACCTGTGTGACTGCCCTGACATCCTCCCTTCTTACTGTATCAGTTCTTGTTATTCACATTATTGCTATACATTTGTGCATTTTCAGTTGTTTATTCAAATTTTCAAGTTGTTCATTCAAATTTCAGTTGTTTATTCAAATTTCAGATTTTACCTGTTCTTTGTGAGCCCTCTCTGTTTTTTCCATAGTTTCTGGTGACAGCTTCTAATTCAGAAATGCTTGCTAGTAATTTCAGAATTCAGTTTAATGTATGATTTACTGGTATTACTAATTTTTAATCACATCATATAATACGAAATGTAATGCTGTTAATAATAATTCATATTATGATCTACAGTTTTATCCATTGTACTTTTAACCTTATTAACAAAATCAAACCAGATCGATACGGCTTTTTCTCCATAAAACGATTTTGACTAGGGTACATCATTACATTCCCATCCTTAATTATGGGCTGCTCATATATCAGCCTTCTGTTGTTTTTCCTAGTATTTATGTTGTTCCTGAAGCAAAAAAAAAGAAAGTACATTTTGCCCATAGCAGTGGGAAGCATTGAAATTTTCTTATTTGTTAAGCTGCATTTTTTTCTACGCTTGAGTAATTATTAATAGTTTTTATGTATGAACCCAATTTTCATTTACCTATTACTCTCTTAATTTCTAGTTAGTGTTTCAGGTCAGTTATAAGCTCACCTATGAACAGCTGTTTCCATTAAAGTGTGTAACCTGGCTTTGATGTTCAAAATATTTGTGTAGGGCCTATAAACCATTTCAGACCTCTGAGAGTTAGACTGAAGTCCTCTGTGATAAGTTCTTCTGAATTCTTATTTCTAACAACCCACATGCCCCTGGTGTTCTTTGTCTTACAATTTAGCTTCAAACCTGCGTTGTCATTCTCTAGCTCAGAAAATCTAGGTCTGAAATCTCCAAAAGCATCACGGTTTTATCCGATAATAGGTTGGAAGATTTTATTCTGTATTTTGAAGTGTTGCTGTAATCTTGCTTTGAACCAAGTAGCCAATACTTTTTAAAAGTGACATCCTATCATATTTACCCTGCAATGTTGGTTACATTCCTGACCTAGATCTGTCAGAATTTGCAAAGGAATTAGCTGTTAGTTTGCAAAGTTTAATACTGTGCTGTCAAAATTATTAGAAATATCATTTATCTTCAAACAAGAACTCAATTAGCAGATTCTGTGCATAAGCTCTGTAAACATCTACTGTTATAGCAGAAGTTTCTCCCCTAGGTAAAGTCATTGAGCTTTTTTGTTACATACGCATTTTCAGACTTGCATAAAATGTAATTTCATTATGACATACCTAAATCTTTAATGTAATTAACTTTAGGCTCCTGTCATATTTGTTATGGATGACACTGCATCTTGTGTAGGAATGGCTGTCTTTGCAAAGAGTTTCAGTCAGTCTTCCCAATATCAAAATTATCATTGCTGTAAATAAGCATTTCTTTTGTTTCTTGCCATCTTCACATGCTTCTGGCCACCTGAAATCTTTCAATATGATAAAAATCAATAGGCAGCTCTTCTGTGTTTGTTGTCTTCTCTGCATTCCTGACCTTTCCCCAGAGTTGTGCAGTTTGATCTGTAAGCTACAGAAAAAGCTGCCCTGTTCTGTAATTTGCTGGTGAATAAAACATGTTACCTGCTTCTAATCAATTTGATTTATATCTCTGTAAGAGTTAGACTTTCCCCAAAGTTTTTATGTTGAAACAAAATCAAGACTTTTGGTGATGAAAAATATTTAGAGGTACTGGCCTCCATGTAACTGCCTTCCACCCAGAAGAACTGTTTATGCTTCTCTGGTTTAAAGTTCTGCACCTGGATGCTGAGCAGTTGTAGCCAGACCTGGAGGCTTGTCCTTAGAGCTGTAGACCATCTGTATTTTAGGAAGCATGAAGTCTAATGAAGACAGGATGACTCGTTAACCAGTAACACATAATTTGTAGTTAGACTTAAAATCTGGAATCGAGAATGTTTCATAATGCATATTGTTTGTTAATTATATGCTTACATTCTTACACTGCTGAGCTCAGTAAGGCCTAGCAACTCTGGTGTTATTGCATATTCTGTTAAATTTGGTTGAAAATATTGAAAATCATATTTTAAACATCTTTTCTTCTTCACAGCTTTTCCTCTGGCTGCAGTGAGCATGCTTGGTACTAGCTTCTTAATTAAGAAAGGTACAGTGTAAACATACTTTGGGTTAATTTGGATTTGCTCAGATGAAATGCATTTCTGCTGTTAATACAGTTACTATAATAATATAGTTTCTTATTGTAGTTAAAAGAAGTTCAGACTCTTCAGCTACATGACTTGCAATTCCTAAAATCAAGAGTAAAACTTTAAATTAAAATTCATGTTTGCTTTATGTTGTTTGACAAATGCAATATCTTAGTGATTATGAAACATACTCTGTATGTGTCGTAATATGTGTGATAAGATTAAAGTGCTAATTCTTAGATTATTTTTTTTTATAATTTTATGGGGAGTTTAGATGTTGGGTTTCTTGAATTTTCTTCAACGTTAGGTGTAAAAGAGTAACCTTTACCTAGAAATGTAACTACAGTTGATGTTTTTCAGCTTAATTCTCAATAACTTATTCCTAATTACTTTGATCCTAATTTTCAGGTGTTCTAAGAGACAGCTCAAGATTTGGCTCCTTTGTAAAAGTTGCATGTAAGTAAAAGCAACATATAAATTCAGCTTGTATTCATGCCTTAGGTTCTGGAGTCTGTTACACAGATGTAGTTCGCATGAGACTAGCTGGCTGATTCACTGTAACTCCACTCTGTAGAGCAGAATATTTCAAGTTGGAAGGGACCCATCAGGATCATGAAGTCCAACTCCATGCTCCTAAAGCTAAATCATATGACTAAGTAGATCATTAGGCACTCCTTGAACTCTGACAGGCTTGGTGCCATGACCGCTTCCCTGGGGAGCCTGTTCCAGTGACTGACCACCCTTGCAGTGAAGAATCTTTTCCTAATGTCCTGTCTGAACTTCCCCTCACACAGCTTCATTCCGTTTCCTCGTGGTCACCAGAGAAAGGAGATCAACACCTCCCATCCCACTGCTGCCCTTGGGGAAGCTGTAGGCTGTGATGAGGTCGCCCCTTGGCATTCTCTTCTCCACTTAAACAAACCACATGACCTCAGCCACTCCTCGTAAGTCTCATCCTCAAGACCCTTCACCATCTTGGTCACTCTTCTAGAGTGTCTAGTGACACATTCTAAGTTTGATGTCTTCCTTCTGCTGAGGCACCCAAAACTGCACAGAATACTTGAGGTGGGACTGCACCAGCACAGGGTAGAGTAGGACAGTCACCTTCTTCGACTGGCTGGCTATGCTGTACTCACACCCCAGGACACAGTTTGCCCTTTTGGCTTTCAGGGTACACTGTTGACTCATATTCAACTTGTCATCAACCCAGACCCTCAGATCTCTTTTTGCAGGGCTGCTCTCCAACCCCTCATCCCTCAGTTTGTATGTATAAGCAGGATTTTGCTGTCCCAGATAGAGAATCCAGCACATAGAGAATCAGTTCTTACATTGATACAACTGTGCCTGAAGATAGGAGCAAATGATCTGATATAGCCAATGAACAAGTTTTGCCTTCCTGGAATTAGTTCTGTCAGTCAGCAGCTTCTTAGCTACGTTCCTTAACTACAACATCTCATACTGCAGGAACCTATTCAATGTCAAGAGGTAGAGCTTCCCATTTATTCATCTGGCTTTCCATAAAATTGCTTGACAAGTGTAATGTAATAATTTGAGACAAAAGCATTGTAAATAGATACTGTACAAGCTTACTTTAAATTACTTTGCCAGAGTACAGCCACCCCTCCCTTCCTAATTTGAAGGTCTTTATTCATGCATCTCACTTGTCCCATTCAGGCTATTTTAGTGCCTTTTTTCCTGGACATTATGTATGTACAATTGTAGGAAAACGGCAATGAATGATTTTGGATTAAGTATAATCACAAATAAATTAATAAATTAACATTTGCAATGTAATACATGACAGTAAAACAGGAAGTTGCCATCTTGCCAATCTGCCTAGATACAGCCAGTTACCCTTACAGTTTACTTCAGTGGGAAGAGGGTAAAACCCATGATTTGTAGTAGAGGAAGTGTTGTTTAAGCAGATAAATGAACGTGAGGGAATAGGGCCGCCATTTGTTTATGCTAAATTCTACCTGCTTTCTTTGAATGCCAAACAATGGTGTAACACAGACATTTGTAATAAATAACAGAATTACTGAGAGCTCCTCCATATTTCTAGTTAAGGGCCATGTTCTTCCTATTAAACAGAATGAAGTTTTGAAATCAAGGGGAAAAATAGAGAGCACCTGGATTGGACTAACTGTTCTTGATGTTAAGGTTATAAGCCAGAATATTTTTGGCTTCTCCTCTTTGATGGACACTAGAGGCCTCTGGACTTTCATTTTGTACTAGAAGAATTTTCCAGTTTTCATTGTCTTTCAGTAGGTAACTTCTTGTGATTTATGTGCATTTTAAATACGGGGATTTTTCTGGGACATAGTTGGGAGTGTAAAAGGCCTGAGTTAAGCAGCTTTTGTTTCATCCTCATATTGCTTAGGTCAGATGATGTCTGCTGTCAGATCCTACTGTCTACAGGATCTTCCTGAAAACTATTGCCAGGGCATAGTTTGGCAGAGCCAAATTATGGCTCATAATTAAACTGCACATTCCTCCTGCAGTGAAGTCTTGCTAAAGGAAGCAGTGCACCTTGGGTTTTTTTTCTTCCTTAAGTTCTGAAAGAAGGGCATATGTGATTCCAGGCACTGCTGCTAGCTCATAGCTAGCTGATGGTAAACAACAGTAAGACAGTTCCTCAGTTCTTGCTTTTCTGGTGTCGTTGATCTGAGCATATTGCTGCTCCATCTATCGACTACAATAGTCTGTCTTTGGTAATGGTGTGTGTCACTTGTGGTCTTTAGATTCTTATTCTGAGCAGTATCTATGTCTCATTCCAGTAATTGGTCTTTTATGTCTAACTACCATAGCTGAATCAGGGTGTTTTTTTTCTGTCTGTATCTTTCATCTTTCCCTGCTCTAGTTGTATCTGGAATTTTGTGAGGTATTTCATTTTCTAGATAGGAATTTTCAGATTCCAGGATGATGTTCTGCTCATAGGAATTACTCACAGCTTTTCTCAGTAGTCTTGTAGGCACTCTGACCATTTAATGGAACTTCTAGTTAGTCATGACTGATATGCTACATTGACAGTATCCCTTCCAACATAGCATAGAGCTATTGGGAAAGAAGGCTGAGATCCGTACATCCTATTTCATGTTAGCCTGCAACAATATCTAATTTAATATGCTGAATTCAAAGAATCATCTGGCTGTTAGTTCTGTAGTAAGAGAAACCAAATTATGTAGCATTCATTGCTTTGGTAATCACCTTGCTGATTAGCTGTATTTTGCTAAATATTTAGTTTGAATACTTGTTAGACTGCTTTTCCTTTCAAGGGGCTTGTAATTTTTCCTTTTGTGTGTATTTATTTGATGTGTCTTCCAAATTTTTTTTTTTTTTTTTACCTAAACAGCTAAACCTTTATATTTCTCATTTTGCAATCTTCACTTGTAGTTGTGGCTGTTCTCTTTTCCATTGGAAAAAGCATTTTGACCTTTTGAAAATACAGGCATTAGATCAGGAATCATAATTTCAGTACCAGTACAGCAGGATAGGGTAAAATCACCTTTTATATTGATTCCCAGGTGATGTAATCTACACTGTGAGGACTTCAGAGGATTAATGTTAGGGGTAGTTAATTCTTTCCTGACTTAGTCTTTGTACTTGGAAAATACATGTTGCATATGAAGGAAGAAGGGTCTAGTCCTTTTCTCCTACAAAATCAACAACAGGACTTCTGTTAATTGCCATTGAATCCTTCATGCTTCTTCTGAAACAAAGAAATACAAAATGAAGTATAATCTTCTGTAAATAAGTAAAATCAGTTCTGCTTTGTGGTTAAGTAACGTTGAGCTTGGTAGCTTTGCAACAATAGCAATGGGTAAGAGCTTTGCAGTAGATGACAGTGAAGAAGTGTCTTAGGTAAATGTTTTACAATAACCAGCTAGAACTGAACTAGTGTTTGCTGGCATGACAACAGGACTTTCCAAACCTAAAGTTCAGCCAAAGGATGAAGTGAGGAAGAAGAAGATGAGGAAGAAACGACCACCAGGGCTCCCAAAGACCACTACCACATTATTGTGCACATGCAGGAGGAATTTTCTAGAAGAATGATGTCATGTAAAAGTAGCTTTATGAATATGCATGTAATGTAATGAATATGTATGTTTGATGACTATATAATCACAGCTTGTTTGGTGCTCAAGCAAGACACACTCAGAGGAGCTGTCCCTCATGTCTCCCAGCGCCACAATAAGGAATACGTGCTTGTCAACTTAAACTTTGTTGGCGAGTTCTTAGAGTTTTTCTGCAAATTGCTTCATGCTCCAGTTGACCCACTTATAAAACTTGAGGGAGCCAGCTGATGGAAATCACCAATTTTAAACCAAGAAAGAGCTGTCATGAGCACTTACTCTCATGTCCTGTCTAGCAGCTGAAAATCACTCATGCATGGAATTGGAAGTATTTGCCCAGTGACTGCAAGGGTTCAGTTAATTCAGTTGTTTGTCCTTCGGCAGCCATATCATAGAACCTTCTTCAGAGGATACTGAGCCTAATACTAAGTTTATGTAGACTTCTCTTCATACTAATGAAAGTCTTTTCCAGATCTCACTGTTCTGATGGAATAAATCAGCAGAATTTACTGCCTTTTTTTATTCCTCACTGCTTTAGCACCTTTGATAGTTAATTGTTATTTCTGGATCTTGGAAAAAACTGATTGCAATTATTTTCCTTTATGTTCGGGTCACCTTTCATTCATCAAGTACTAGCTGAAGTCATTTGATGCTCTTGCCATGGGTAAATCATTGCTCTGTGTCTCTGTTCTGTAGTTGTGTTTGGTTTTAGTACTCCTTGTCTGCAAAAGAAGCAGAGATGATTACTGTATGGTTTTGATTTAGATCTAAACTATTTTTTACTCAAGATAGTGTATAATTTATTTGGAATTATTATTTTAAAACTATGTTGAATTTTATGCTACAATGTATAAACTCATCTCTTTTTTTCTTTTTAAAAAGTTGCTGGAATATGTGGATACATGGCTGGGAAGATTTCCTACTTGCCCATCTGTAGCGAGAAATTTAAGCAGCTGAAGGATTCTCCAATTGGAGATGTTCTGCGACAAGCTCAGAGACATAGTTCACCTAAGTAAGAATTCAGTTGTCTTTTGAATTTAAAACTTATTCTGGAATAGGACATTTTAAACACTTAAGAGATCAAAGCTGTATTTGCAGCTTTGAAAGACCTTCAGAGCTGTACCTTCCCTCTTTGCTCTGTTACCACAAATCAGCCACTTTGAGGAAGCCATGTCTGTATCACTTGGCCAGCTGTAAAACATGCATTTTGGGCTTTTTACGTGCAGCTGATTATTAAAGGAGTAAAAAGGAAATATCCTTAGCAAAATGTATTCCCTGTAAATTAAGATGTTTTTCTGTGGAATTTACTTACAGTAGGGTGACAGCAGAAGTTGCCTCCTTAGTTTAGAAGTAAGCTAAGTTAACTGAAATAAAGTAGTGTTGCATTCTAGAAGTTTTTCCCATAGTTTAGTTTGATTGAAGTAGGAAGGGGGTGGAAATGATTTCAGTGTTTATCAAAGGAAAGAGCCCAGTAAACAATATCAGTGCAGGAAGAAGCATGGCGGTCAAACTTACTGCTGTTTGTTTAAATCCTTTACATCTGTAACAGCATTATGCTGTACATATGAGAAACTCATCAGGTTCTTAAAACTATTTCCTGTTTTGTTCCAGAATGTTTTCTACCTCAAGCAGTTTTTAATTGCAAACTCCTTTTGGAATATCTCACTTAAAGCCTTGATTTAAAACTGGGAGAATACTGTTTGGATAGTGAGGAGTAGTCCTTGTATGCATGCACTAAGTAAATGTTTAGAAAGGATTTGAATAAATTCTTAATTACTTTATAAATTCAGATTTATGGCAGTGTTGTCTGCAAGATTTACCTTTATTCTGGAATGTTCATGTTTTTATGGCATCAAACATAGTTTTAGGAATTGCTGCTTTATATATTTACTGTAAATTCTTAGCTGAATTGGAGCTGGACCTGTCCCTTCACCCTGCTCCAGTTTCTAGTAAGACATTGTGATCATTAGCTGGGTTTACTCTAGATGAGAACCTGTTTAAATGCCATCATCTGCTGCACCAGTAAGTCCCTTCAACCTTTAATGCCCCCTTATTTTGTATCTGTTAAATTTTATTTACCAAGGGATAATTCCCCTCCCACCCTTTGGTGAATGATTAATCTAAATTAATCTTCTGCCTTTTTAAGCCTTCAAGAGAAATCGTTACATTTTTGTAGTCATGAATTTACTAGTTAATGTATTTCGGTAATTCTGATTTGCTGTTAAAAATAGGTAGGGAGCTAAAATGTTACACAGTTCTCTAAGGCTGTGTTTGCATATACTTTAAAAATATAATTGAGACCAAAGTGGCTTAGTTCTGTATGTTTAGTGTGAGAATAAAACGAAGACTAACTGCAGATGTTTTTCATAGGAAACTAAAAGGACAGCTAAGCAGAAACTTAAAGAAAAAAATGAATAAATACTCTAGAGACTTTCTAGTGGCACCAAATGGTGGCATTCTCAATAGAGACATGTTGTGTGGTGCTTTGCAGGGCCATTCTGAGTATGCAGCAAATGTTTTAGAGTATCAAGCATCATTTTCTTTAGATGATCTTATCTTTGTCTCTGAAAATTCATTGATGTTTCTGCTGAATTCAGCAACTCAATAAACCTTCATAATTTAATTTCCCCAAGACAGCTCTTCATTCTCCTTTCCTGCTGTCTGGTACTGATCAATGACAGCAGCTTCTAATGATGGAGCGTTTTAAATTGCAAATTCTTCCTAAAAGGCCTTTAAAAATACCTATAGTTCCTGCTACCACTAGTTAGATGGGTACATCCTGTACTATCTGTGTCTGATGTGGATTTTTTTTCTGTCTGAAGACTCCCTGGGGGAAGGGATTGTCATTTTTTTTGTCTTGTAAAGTGCGAAATACATTGTCCCTTTTGTCTCTGTTGAGAGATTTTCAGGTGTGAGTTAAGTTTCTGGGAGGAAGGGAAGAGTATTGGGGAAGGGACTGTATAGGTCTTTGCAATGTAAATTAAAACCTGCACCCCAAACTTTAAGATGATAATCCACGTTGGAAACTAAACCATTTAAAAGAGTATTTGCTTTAACTGCACATATTGTTACTCTTACAGTTCCATTTTTAACTGCAATATTTCTGTATTTAATATTTCATTATTTTCCAGCCGATCCAGTCGGAAATCTGAATTTTCAGATATGCCTTCTCAGTCATATACTGAATCTTCTTCTCCCAGAGCTGGATACCCACTTCCTTCTAGCTATTCAGATGATTATAGTTCAACAGATAGAGCCCTCTCAAGTTATGAACCCATTCCTTTCAGTGCTTCCCTGAATGAATCCTCACCTACAGGAATTACTGATTATGCTGCTCAAGGTGTGTTTTGTCTTTAAACATTTAGCAGTCTGTAGTATGATGACTCTTGCCTTTCTCTTCGATATTTCTCTTACTAAACTTTGTATTTTCATCCTGTGCAGACATACATCATTCAATACAGTGATTTTGAATGGAACAGCTTGAAGTTCCCAGAATTGCTTTTACACACAATACATGTATTATTTAGTGCTCTAACTGTAATCTAAATTCAGGGGTGGGGATGTTCTTATTTTGTAGCTCTAATTGCAAGTAAAGACTGTAAATTAACTTACATGGTTTAATGTGTTGTGAAGAAAAATCTGCAAAAAACTTAGCCTGACTTGAAGTTCTGTTTGATTGAAGCTAAGGTGAATATGCCATCTTTTCATTGACCACAGTCTCCTACCATTTATTTGCCTGTTGGCCTTTCTGAGGCTAGTGTGTTTTCACCAGTGGTGGTGCTGCAACTGTATACCACTATAATTCAGTGACATTAAACTGGTTTTTATAATGGGACAAGCGTTTAAATCTTCTAAGAACTGAATGCATATTGCGTTCTGTCTGGTAACAGCTGATTTTCTCACAGAGAACTAAAATGGTTTTCAAGTACTGGTTGGTGTAGCTGTTCCCTTCCTTTCAGTATGAACTCTGTCCTCAGCTATTGCAGGGAAGCACAGGATTCTGAATTCAGGTCTCTATGGGGCACAAAGGAGGAAGTTACTGTCAAATGCAAATTTCTGTATTTTGAATTAGTGTGGATTTTTTAACCCCTTTATAGAAGAGGTTTTATTTCACAAAAAGGCCCTTTCATGCAACTGGGGTTTACTGCTTTTATATATGTGTATATATATATATATATATATACACACACACACACACGAGTCTTTTATAAGACTTGGATGTGAATGTGTACTTACACTTCATCACAAATATAGTGATAGTTGATAGATACAGATACCAACTGATAGTTGGTAGAAACTATCAAACCAAGATTCTGTATTATAAATGTAGATAAAAGGATAAAATGTTTAACGGGTGACATATGATGGAAGTAGTCCTAGTTCCTTGAAAGCAGAATTTAAAGCCTAAGTGCAAACCCTTGAGCTTCACCTAGCTTTCTGTTCAGAAATCATAAATATATCAAATGTATGATTATCATAAATTTTACATTAAGTGATCAGAACTATTTTATCCTTCAACTACCACATGGTTGTTAGGATTTCCATTAGGTAGAATGAAGAAAAGGAGTCAACTGCCAGTTTTCCAAAGCAGCTTAACACAATGAGAAGGACAAAAGGAACGGATTAATTAAAAACCACATACATTTTCAGCTGCGTTTAGAACTGCAGCTGTCATGCTCTTTTTCATTTGGGATTGAGCTGTAATTAACTGGCATTCTGGAACAGGCTGTAGTCAAGTTCTGGCGTGTGATGCCATTTCTTGTATCTTAATGTTTGTTTTGTTTTCAGATCCTGATCCAATTCCAGAAGAAAGCCGTAAAAAAAAAGGCATCACATATGAGGAATTAAGGAATAAACACAGAGAGACATATGAGGTTATGCTACCACCAAGGGCAGAAACTCCAAGCAAGTTTTCACAGGAAAAACCAGCTAAGGAAGGTAATATAGCAATTTACAGAAATGCGTAGTCAATTCAGGTATTGGCAATAATGTTAAGAACGGTTACAAACCCAAGGCTTAATTCTGCTTACCATTTAAGCAGCTTATTTTTACAGTATCTGCAGGGATCTCATGCGATCTGGTCTGTAGTTTCATGTTTGAAATTAATTCTTCACAACAGCAATCTTCTGACAGCAAATTCTAACTCCTCTTTAGCTGTATTGCTCAATGGCAGGCTGAAAATTTCAGAACTTTGGGGTTATTGACTATATCAAGCCACCTCTTTCAACAAAGAGTTCTCTGAGCTCAGAGCCATACTGAAGAGTTTTAGCCATGGAAGGGGGTGCATGCTTCAGATAGCATTGTTCTCTCAGAATAGAGCAGCACATGGTTGATGGTTTTGAGGGGGGGGTATTTATGAGTTGTTTAATGTGGAATTAGTGCATTTCTAAAGAGGCATTGTTTGTAGAGCTTCATTTTCTACATTAAGACTCAAAGGAAGGAAACAGTATTTGGCAGCAATATTGAGATTTGTTTTCACAGTGAAAAACAAAACTTTACACAGCAAAATAAGCCTGCAGTGTCCTGAGGAGTAAGATGCCGTTCAGTCACCTTTTTGACTCAGTCCTTTTTTGTGCAAAGGAGACACAGAAGCAGTTCATCATCACTTGCTCTAGAACTGTTTTAATTTAGTGTGGCATGTGTGAAAATGATGTTAGCAGAGGAATGCTTTGGTGTTTAACACACTGCTGAACTAGTCAGCTTGGATTGTTTGGGTTTGTGTGCAGTGTCCGGTGTTGTCAATCATGCTGCAACAAGATTTGTAGGAATAGCTAACGTCTCCTCTTAGGCATGACAGGTGGTAATAAGTACAGGAACGTATGCTCAAGCAAAAAGTTCTGAAGCAGCAAGAGTAAGCTTTGGAACAGTGTTGATTACAAGAGAGTGCTGGTCTTATTTCATGCTTGTGAATTACTTTGTCCAGATCATCCGTCTTTGGACGGACAGATCTACAAAATCATGAGGTAAAAATTACAAACAGCTGCCGAGCAGGGATTTATATCTGTTATTTCAAGGTTGTGAAAGCCTTTTTCTTTTATCTTGTGACTATACCAGATGAGATGTTAAAAAATTATTGAAGCTCAGTTTCAGATTGCCTCTAAGTTCTGTCAGGTGACCACTGATTTACACAGTGTGTCTTTTCAGGATATTTCTGCACAAATAGAGAGCCTAGAAATGTCACTTGAAAACCATACATGCAAATCTTCAGCAGTGCTCTGCAAACCTTGCCTTATTGCATGGCAGATCTTGTGGCTATGAAATGAGAATATGTGTTCATTATTTTATTCTTAGTTATTTGAGAACAGTAAAAGGCCTCTATAAAATACTGATCAAGTATTGCATTCTATTTATTATGTTTCTGTGTTCGTTTGATTGTTATACTCAGGCTTTAAGAATAGAACTACACTGAGCAGTGTATGAGATTTGTAAACAAACTTTTAAGATTATCTCTTTGTAATTTTAGGGAAAAGGGTAAGGAGGGAATGCAACAATTCAGAAATGTTTTACAAGTGGAAGTACATTTAAATCTACACTTCAGGGACTCTATTGATGTTGCGGCTAAGATCTGATTTAGCTTCTTGTGTCACGCTGGACATGCTACTTGTTGTATGCCTCTTCCTACAGCCTGAGTCATTACCCCTTTGTTCATCCTCTTACCTTGGTCATAGGAACCAGACTAGCAAATCGAAAGTGGTTTCTGCCCTTTGTTGTAAGGACATAAGGAAGGCCAAACAACACTTAAAGCAGCTTTATGTAGTGCCTAATTTCCATCTGCTGGTGCCTGCACCATTCTTTGTAGCCATACAAATATATATGCATCTGCATAGCGACCTGCACTGGACTATTTTGCAGGGAATGAGTGTGGCCTGCTTATCTGCCAGGGTAAATAGAAATCAAACTGTGCTTTGAGAGAGATTTCGTTGTGCCTCATTGCAGTATTAGTCTGCTTACAAGAGACTTGTAGGTGCATTATGCAAAGTTTGCTGACATCTCACTGAAACAAAGACCATGCATTCTGCTCTGTTCCACTGGTTCTACTGCAGATGGGTATTAATAAACAGGGGGTTTAGTAATTAACTTGCAAGTATAAAGAGGTCCCTAACTAGTGCCAGCATTCCTACTGGATCATGTAGATCAGTGATGGCAGTCAGTTACAGACCAGTTGGCAGCTCATGTTCAAGAGACCCTCTTTTCACTTTCTGGTCCTTGTTCAGTTACTTGTGACATACTTCTGCATAAATCCATTAAGACCAGTACCCTGGTTTTGGTTTACTCTGAATCACTCCTATACTAAAGGAAGCTGCCAAACAATAATGGCTGAGTAGTTTCCTAGTAGGGATTACTGATTTCTTTTTGTCTTTGAACGTGTTTTTAACTATCCTGAATCCATCCAGCTGTGCACGTAACTGGATTATGTAGCCACGTTATTTATTGTAACATTCCTTGCCTGTTTCCTCCCATTGTCATTGTTTCATCCACATGTTACATTTGTTTCCAAGTAATTACAAATCCTGTAGAGCAGGAATTAGCACAGTAGGCCTCTTGACTATTAATTCATTAAAGAAGAACGATTAACAAACTTCTCCCCATTTATTCCAAAGTAGCTTTAATTGGATGTCTGTTGTGCTGTGACTGACACTCTCCCCGCTCACCGCTTCAGATGGTCATGCATTTCACCATACTTTTTGGCAGTCTGCAAGATAAACTTTTGCAGTTAAATTGAATCATATGTGACTACTGTTTCTTCTTTTCTTTAGTGAAAGTAAATAAATATGGAGATACCTGGGATGAGTAAGAGCTGAATGAAGAACTGAAGAAAATGATCTGTCAGCTGACTTGAACTTCATCTAGATTAGTCACAAGAATGAGCATTTTTGGTGTCTTCTGCCAGGCACAGCTTTTAATAAATGAGGAAAAAATCCTGACTTGCCAGAAGATTTAAAAAAAAAAAAAAAAAGAAAAAAGAAAGCAAGCATTCAGGCTTAATGTTTGGGTTTTTTTTATTTTGCATAAATGGAAAGCGAGTCTATTGTGAGGTGTCATGGCTATAAACCATTTGTGCTCCTGTTGAAGAATGAAAAGGGTAACTTGCAATAACTAATATAAATGCATAGCAGAAGGTAAAAATATATGTAAACAAATGCAATCACCTGTATTGGGAAGGGGGGAAAAATCAGAATCTTCTCAAACTTCCAAGACTTGCATTAAAAGTTACCTGTAGAACTCACCTCTCTCTCACTTTGTGTTGTCTTGAAGGTGATATGCTGGAGACTTCAAACTGGTGTCACGATTGGTTAGCGCGGTATCTGGAATAATAGCTAGCTATGCTGGGAAAAAAGGGTGGAGGGACCTACCAAACACACTTCACTGTGCTACAGAACTGTTTCAAAGAGCCAGCTGTATTTTCAGACCAATACTCTGACTTGCCCACACTGGGCCTCTTCAGTTATTCCAGAAGAAAGTGAACAAATGCAACTGCAGATATTGAAAGTAGCTGCATTTAAGCTGCATTTTACTACAGGCTGTGGTAAAAGTTTGAATCATATCTTGATTGTTAATATTGCGTATTGTGGATTTAGTCGTATTTCTCTGTTTGTGCATATCATGACAAAACCCCCATGTTAATGGAGAAGAGGTCCTAATCGGTGGGATACTGCATCATTACTACCTGTAAGGAGAGAGTTACATCAGCAGAACTACTGCAGGAGTATTTCCTGATATTTGCATCACCTGCTCTGTCTCAATCCAAATACTGTCTTCCATGAGGGATTCTCAAATTCCCGCCTGTGCTGTTGCATCTCACAGCGTTGCATTTATTTTGGGGATCTGGCTGCAGGGGAGCAAAACCAATGTGAAGTTGATGGCATCAAAGCATTCCTGAAAACCTTGATGGAGATGAAAACAGCTTACCTACCAAGCTGAAAATTCTCAAAGACCTTTCTGATTTAGTGGTCCTGCAGCAGAGCAGCCTGAATGAGAAGATTATTTTGGGGAGGTACAGAGCCGTCAGCTGAAATGGGGAGGAAAAGAAGGAAGATGGGATGCTCAAAGAGCCACATACTACTCACAGTAATCAAACAAGGAAGATTGCTTTCAGAAAAACTCATCTTCTAAAAAGGGAAAGGAATGTGCTAACGGGATAACTTGAAGTTGTATCAAAAATTTAACTTACAGAAAGTGGTTCTGGTGCCTGTGATGAGAGAACTCTGAAAATATACGAAGTCTGCCAGAACTCTGCTGCTGTGGGGTTTAGTGCACTGCTCCATCCCTGGCAGTGTTCAGGGCCAGGTTGGACAGAGCCTTAAGTTACATGGTCTAGTAGTGTGAGGCATCCCTGCCCATGGCAGGGGGGTTGGAACTGGATGATTTTAAGGTCCTTTCCAACCTGAACCATTCTATGATTCTCTGATTAATCATGAAACTGCTCATAAAGTGTCTTAGTTGTGAGTTATGCAAGTAACAGGAGGCAGAAGATTTAGATGATAAACTAGGAGCAGATGCCTGTGGTGGTGGTTTTCGGTCTCTAAAATCAAGAAATGCTTTTTGTTTTGAATGAATGAAAATTTTGGATGAATGAGAAGTTTCCAAGTGAGAAAACTTTGCAGGAGCAGGCTTATGGCATTGAGGAAGTAGCAACACCTAAAAGACAAATTATTGAACAATAAGCTTGCCAACAGAAGTATTTCTTTCTTTTACATTATTTTGGGGGATTTGGAATAATACTTTATTTTCTCAAGTAAATGAATATAAGGATATAGTAACTTGTTTTTCTCAGGAATCTTAACTCATGCTTGTAGTACAAGTTGTTTATTTGCATAAGTGAATGGTCATCTGGGGAGCTGACTGAGTTACTGTAAATACCTCTGCAATGTGGACACTGAAAAGTGAGACTTCCTCTATTTCTTGACATTGGCTGTGAACGTTACTGTTGTGCCAATGAACTCACGTGTAATCAAGTACTTAATATCCACACTGGAACCTTGGCCCAACCCTCCTGTTCTGGCCATTCTCTGCCTTTCAGTCTCGGGCATTTGCTGCACTGCATCTTGCAGCAGCACTGCCAGTATCAAGTGTTGTGTGCATGCTGCTCTATGTATTTTTGTTTTGCTGTGTGCTTCTGGTTATGTGTGTGTTCATCTTCCTGACAAAATAGTGACTGGAGACCAGCAAGTACAGGACAAACACAGCAACCAGAGTATTCAACTCTTTGCCATTTAAATGCTGAAGAGGTGATGCCTGTTTCAGACTGAGCTCTCCCAAACAACAGTGTTTGGAGAATGCTCATTTTGTATGCTGGTAACTAACAGGACAAGGGGGAATGGCTTTAACAGCTGTGATCTAAAGCATTTGCTCTCTTTAACGTTAGGGATACCAGCTACTATGCTGCTTATATATCAGTGTTTTAATACTTGCTGCTTCTTTACTTACTGTTACTAAGTTACCTTATGGTTTTGATTGGTCAATATTAAATTCCCTGAGCTTTTAAGATACATGGCAGAAGGGTAATACATAGTTTCAACAGAGTCATAATATCTCCTGTTCAGCAGAAGCATAGCTTTGCAAATCTAAAAGCAAGAGTCTTGTATGAGCTACTTTATGATCATGTGATGCTGTGGTAAACAAAAAGGATGCATGATAATGACACTGCACAATCACCTGAGACAAGATATTCAGTCAAATACAACTTTCACTTACCCTTGAAATGAGAAAAAATGTTAAGATGAAAGAGAAATTGAGTGTTTGATAGAGTTCCAAAGGGGACTGAAACTATTCAGGATTAAAAATCCATAGTGTGTAACCTTTGTGGTGGTGTTTTTCCAGTTGTTCAGTGATGATTTAAGACTCTGTTTTCATGATATGCAATCTTGGCCTGAACAGCTTCTAAATCAGAACTTTCCAGTTCATTCCTTACATGGAATGCTGTACGTTCTCTCTCTAATCCATACAGGAAGCACATTTCTGGTGCATTAGATTTTTATTTTCAATAAGCTAAAATTAGATTCTATATAAATCTAAAACAAAAATAAATTTTGTTTGGCTTCATTCTGTGGTTTAAATTTAATTGTTGATCTTAACTATCTCAGGATAACTAGCATTTTAAAACAGTGTCACTGATACAGGAAATAGCAAATCTGGTTGCAGTAGCTGATGCCCAAACATCAGTGATGGATTACTGACAATGTCTAAATCATCTTCTGAATAAGCCATGCTAAGTAGAACTAAACATCTCTGCTGGTATTGTCATGCAGTCCAGTGTATACAGCTACATGCTTGCATTGAAGAGTTAAGGGCCATGAAGATGATCAGAGGCTGAAGCACCTCTCCTGTGGAGACAGGCTGAGTTGGGCTTGTTCAGCCTGGAGAAGAGGAGGCTCCAGGGATATCTTAAAGCAGCCTTCCAGTACCTAAAAGGACTACAAGAAAGCTGGAGAGGGACTTCTTCAAGGGCAGGTAGTTTTAGTATAAGGGGGAATGGCTTTAAACTGACAGAGGGGAGATTTAGATTAGATAATGGGAAGAAGCACTGTGAGGGTGGTAAAATACTGGCACAGGTTGCTCCAAGTAGTTGTGGATGCCCCATCCCTGGCAATATTCAAGGCCAGGTTGGACAGGGCTTGGAGCAACCTGGTCTAGTGGAAGGTGTCCCTGCCCATGACAGGGTGATTGGACCTGTGTGATCTTCGAGGTCCCTTCCAAGCCAAACCATTCTACAAAGGGCTGTGTTAATTTTAACTCTTGCTCTCAACATGCTAGAGAACGTGCCGCTGCCAGCCAGCTTTGAAGGCTGCATTGTAGACACAAGTCAGTGGGACCAGCAAGCAAGCGAGGAGGAGCCCCTTCAGCCTGCCAGGTCCTTGCTGCTCAGGGAGAAGTGGAGGAGAAGAAGCACATAGAAGGCCAGGCCAGCCTGCAGCTGCCCAAGCTGCCATCTGCTCAGCAGCGTGGGGTGAGCCCCCTGCCTGGACAAGGGCAGGCTGTGTCTGACAGCAGCCAGGGCAGTTCCTAATATTGTTACACCCTACTGGATCTGTAGAGCTCATTGTGGGAATGAGTGATTAAATAGCAAGCACTTGCCTGCTGGGTAAGGTTTCAGATTAGTATTTTGAAGTATTGCCCACGTGACAGCATAGCAGGAAGTAAACTTGGGCATGTCCAGGTCAGCGCAAATCTCAGCCTAGAGCTGGCATGAGTGAAGGGTAGATTTAAACTACACCTCTGGAGGAAGTATTAAAGCTGTTTCTTGCACTGAAATACCTGAGCTTGCTGATGTGCCTAACCACCACAGCATTGTTTCTGAATGCTCTGAACATACATACGTGAGAAGCGACACTTAAAAGTTCAGGTAAGTGGGGTTTTCATGCAAGATTCTAGCACCTGCTTGGGAGGTGCCACTGCTCTCAAATAATCTGTGTGTCAAAGACAATGGGAAAAACAGCCATTCCCACCTTAGTATTTTTTTTATCCTTCAGCAGCAGAGACAAATACTATATTGTAATTAAAATAATTCAAAGGTGTGTTTTCTCAGGAATCTTGAATCTTGTGCTCCCTGCACAGACTGAAGGTGTTTCAGTCTCCGCTTCCAGATATTGGCAACCTGGCGTTTGGTTCATTTGGCAAGGTGCTTAATTTGTTTTCTCATTAGCTGTAAGAACATAGGAATCACCATAATGGTCACCCCATCTCCCATGCTGGCTGGGGATCCCTCTTGAAGTTGTTCTTTCACCGCTATGCCCACCTGTCCTTCTCTGACTACAGCAGAGAAGCTTCTTCCTGACACGAAGGTTGCACCTGGATTATGCAAATCCAGATGTTTCACAGCCACCGAGCCTCTGCAGACCATGCCTTTTGGAGCTGTTTTTTTCCCATGTTCTGTGGCAAGAACATTCGTGATGGAGTTGTGCTGTATAAAGAAGCACTTCTGTTGGCTTTAAATCTGATTTCACCGAGTCCCAACTAGTTGTCATTTTACAAAAGCAACAATTACTCATTCCCTATTGATCTTTCACAGTGTTACAGATACCGTATTCCTCATCTTGTGTTGTTTTCAACCTGGAAAGTGAGTTACTGAAGCTCTTGTGAAGAAATAATTTTGTACCTCTGATCATTCTTTTTTCATTTAATTTTTTCTCTCTCTCAGCTCTGTTGTACGCTTTCTGAGGTGCACTGGAAGCACCACAATATTCAAGATGAGGACAGGCCACAGAATTGCTCTGTTGTATAAGGCTA